TTTCTCTATAATGTCCTTGAAGTTGCATTGCTGCTCTTTTAAAGCACTTTTCAGTGCTGAATTTCATTAAAGTAAAACATTGTTAAAGGAACCCATTTGGATGTATTATAGCTAAAGATAGTCCCTTTAATTCCCCCCCCCCAAAAAAAACATTACACAGAAGTAAGGTATTCCATAAAAAAACCATTTAACTCTTCATCCTATATTTCTGATATAATATTCTGTACTGATGCTATATTATGGGGCTAGATGGTTATTTTTTATCCTACTTTCTATCCAGAGGGTATTTAGGGTAGCTGTCAGTAACAAACAATTTAACAGTTTGAATCTTATTTTTAAAATGATTAAAATAAAATATTGATTAATTCAAAGTGAAAAGGTCTGACTACAAACAAAAAGCTAGATTTCTGGCCTAGAAACTGAAAGAAGGGGGGATACCTATGTTCTCTTCATATATTGCAAAATGGTTTCAGAAGGCTTCTTGTATAGATCAACATATTATAGCCCTACATAAAACAAATTTGCCTGTAATATCACATGTATTTTCTTATATTGAAACCTTAATGGAAATATCATGAATTATTATTTTGTATTTTAAAATGAATACCTACCTATAATTTATACTTCATACTGAAATTGATCGTGTACTGCTCAATTTTGTTAAACTTTATTTCCTCATTGCTATCAGGGTTGTTGATGTATTCTACAATGCTGACTCAGTGAGTTACAGTTTTAAAGGTGATCTTGTACACACTTTTAAAAAAAGGATACATTTCTCACCTAAATTGATCCAGTTAAAACAGATATTCCCAAATTCTAGATAGTTAAGATTATTTTAATGAAGCCCATCATTACAAAAAAAAAGGTGTAGTGAAAAATAAAAGTGTATTTAACAAGAAAAAGAAATGGTTCTCTCAGAGGAGAAATCAAGGCCCCCCGAGCCTGTTAATCATGAGAATAACCTGTAATTTAACCTATCATGTACTGTTTTATGGAAATCTTCTGTTTTCACAATGGCAATGTCCATGCTCAGAAGCTGTTAGCTATGCTGCATATATGAAAGAAATATATAAAAACATGCTGTTGTTGTAGCACATCCAGTACACCAGGTGCAATTGGAGTAACTGTAAAGATCTAAAGGTAGTGGCTCTGCTGTTTAGAATGCAGCTTGGATATATATCATGTACTGTTGTTACATATGTGAATGGGAGAGCCACACAAGAGAGACTCATAACATTAAAAAGAAATGAGCACTCCAAAAGAATTTGGTTCCAGAACAGGAAAAACTTGTTGACTCAACAAAAGTATTTTTGCCTCTGCTTCACAGAAAACTCAGACTGATGAAAATTTTTGTGAAAGTGATGAACAAGAAAAGTGAAGTTTAGGACAGATGTTTCTATGAGCAACTTATGCCAAGATTAAGGAAGGCATTTTTATTGGTCCACATGTGAGATACAAACTTTTATGACAAGCAATTCAAAAATCAATTCAAAAATCAAAGATATGTTAGTGGGGCCAGAAATCTCCTGGAAATCTTTGAAGGATGTCATTGACAATTTTCTATAGAGAACCAATTTAATACAATATTCAGTTGGTTGACAAACAATACAAGACCATGAAGTGCAACATGTCACTGAAGATTCATTTTATGCATTCACATTTGGACTTCTTTCACGAAAATCTAAGTGTAGTGAGTGATGAACATGATGAAAGGTCTCACCAGGACATTGCCACAATGGAAAAACTATCAGGGCAACTGGAATCCATCAGTGCTGGCTGACTATTGTTAAACACTGTAGCAACATATATTTGATACTGAGTACAAACAAAAATCAGCAGCATTTGAGACCTGTTGAACTCATGCAGCATGACGGAAGCAGCATGTCAGAAACATGTGATTAAATGCTGTACATTATAGTTGTTAAAAGTTAATTTCATATTTTTCAAGTTCTTATGTAATACAGTCATTCTGAAATAATATTTGTGTTCAGTTTTAAGGCGTTTATCATAATCATCAGAAGTTTTTCAGGAAATAAAAAAATGAAAAAAAAATTGTCCAGTGAAATCCAAGTTCATTCAGGGTTTCCTGATTTCAGTCTGAATTTAACTACATCTACCTGTTCTTGAGCTTTGTTTAAAGAGCAAAAGTATGTGTAAAGTGAACAGTATAGAGCTCATATTAAATAGGTTGATTGTTTGATTTAGAAAATACAATATGTACTGTATGAAGTTCAACTATCTAAAATGCCACACCTGCTAAGTTAAAGAAATTATTGAAATAGAGCCAAGTAATTTAATTTTAAATCAATAAAGTTTCTTTAATACAGACATGCAGGGAGTCTATAAGCTACCCAAATATAGTTGGATAAAACAATCTGTAGAAAATTACTAAAACAGTTTTAATTTTTATTTATAGTTATAATTTCAATTACACATAACTTCCTGATGACCCTAGCAAGCATGTCCATTACAGAATTGCACCTGCTATTAGCATACTCTTGAATGCATTGCATTTATTATACCTAAGATGTATTTTCTGTTATAGACATGCAATTCTGCCCAGGTCTATTAGTCATACACAGAATTAATATGCTGGCTAGTGCTAATTATATCTCAAGACCATAAGGATTTTTTGATACATTAAGCAATAATGATTTACCAATGTATGAGATTTATATTGCTGCCTATTCACACATTCCAGGGGGCTTACAAAAACATAAAAACACCACATAAAAACAATAAAACTAATAGAGAATCATATATAATAAAATAACCCCCCACCCCCACCACCGCCTGGCGACAACACATCATATGAGCTATTTAATAGGCTACATTCCCACTCTGCGTTCCCCAGGCCCACCTTCCAGATAAGTGTTAGAGGGGCCATTCTAATTTCTGTGGGAAGAATGTTCCAGAAAGAAAGCCACCAGAGAAGGCCCTTCTTTTGAGTCCCACCAGGTGTAGCTCCCTAGGGGATGGGGCATGCAACATTCCTTGCCTCTCCGCTCATGGCATAATAGAGTCCTCTCAGGAATTATAATTACAGATTATTTGTAGAAAATTAAATATTGAATTATTGCCTTCTCCCATTACATAGACTTCTAGAATATATTTTTCTATTACATGCATATCTCATTTCTGTCATGAAAGTTAAAACAGCATGTAAAGAGTCTATGTAGAAGCATTTTACATTGTTTTGGGGAGTATGATATATCCCAAAGGGAATTCCTGTAAAGTATGTTTATGACATCATGATTTAAATAGGGAAGATTGATCAACGCCACGTATAACAGGCAATTCTAGCTCTATCTATTCTAGCTGTATTGAATTTTGTACTCAATTAACCAAAATTGTTGAATTTCTTTGATGCAGATATCTCTTTAAATAGGAATTCTCCATACAATATTTATCTGGAACTTTCTGGAACTTTTAAGTGTTTGTGACGGCAATGTGATGGTGTGAATTTGACAACCGTGAAATAGAAGTTTCTATGTCCTTTCTCCTTTCTGCATCTGTTCTTGTAGATGCTACTCTGTCTATGAAATAGTTATGTCACAGTTTTCTGGCACTCGTAAGGGAATCTCATTTGCATACAAAAACACATTCCAGTTGCTTTTTTAAACAGTCATTATTCTTTGGAAGATTTCAAGTGGCCATTATTAACTATTCTGTATAATCTTATTATCAGTGCACCTTCTACTCATACTGTTTTCTAATATGTGGGAAGTTAATGAATCCCAGAAATACTTATCCTACCTTTCATGTAGGAAAACACTTCATGAGATGCATACCACATTTTTTGAAGTGAGAACAATCAACCAATAGAACAGTTTGCTCTCGGAAGTTGTGGGAGCACCATCACTTGAGACTTTCAAGAAGAGATTGGCTGCCATTTGTCAGAAATGGTGTAGGGTCCCCCGTTTGGGCGAGGGGCTGGACTAGATGGCCTATAAGGTCTCTTCCAACTCTAATTATCTGTTATCAGACCACCCCCAAATAATGACTGATTAAAGGTTTTAGGCAGAGAGATGGAAATCTTTATCTATTTTTAGATAACTGAAGATACCAGGGATTTAACTTGGCCTTCATGCAAAGCATCTCATTTATCACTTTGCACACTTTATCACTTTGCACACTTGCAAGTGGATCTTCCCTCTGTAATGTAAGTGTACACATAGAAAAGTTGAAAGCCGAAGTTATGGATACTCAAACCAGCTCCAACCATCTTGAAACTATATTCCTTTATTTTATTTTCTCTCTTTCCTCATATTTCCCTCTGTAGTTCATTCTTTCTTCTTTACATCCCTTTCTTTATTCATTATAGAAGAGTTTTGCTGAGATGGTACCATAGTAACTAGCAGGGGGTAAGAGTGATGGAGAACGGGAGGAAAGAAGGCCTGGACGATGCTTGTTGGAGCGCCCCCTATCTGCGTTCGCCCCGCGCGCTCCGAGCAAGCAGCAAATGGCTCTGGATTTGCGTGCTCCTTTGTGTGAAACACAGTCGGAGCAAAGCAGCGGCAGCGTACGCTGAATCTTTCCTGTCTACCCTGCTCTCAGAGACGTGGATCAGCCGTTCCAGAACCGGATCTCTGCCTCGCCTCATCCCGCATCATCTCGACGGGAGCTTTAATCCTCTTTCTTTACTCTTCTAGGTAGAGCGCTGTTTGCAGAAATAAAGCTGTTGCAAAGAAAGGGGAGCGGGAGATAAGAAGAGGAGCAAGCCAGCCAGCCCGCCAGCCCAAGAGGCAGAGGGAAAAGAGCGCAAAAAAAGCGCCGAACTCTCCCAAGGCAGGCAACGGAGAGCCTTGCGCCTGGGCTCTGCCAAGTGGCGTGGGAGGGGAGACCAGAACTTGAAGTTACCTGCCCTGCCATAGGAGAAAAGCTGGGACTTTGACTGCCCCTTTCGCAGCCCTCGGCAGACGAGAACGGAGCTTTTCGGAAGAGTTTTGCTCCCCCTCTTTCTTCTGCTTGCAAACCATAAACGGATGTGAGAGGCAGGCAGGGTGCTTCTTTTGCTTCTTCTAAACTCAGGCATCTCAGCCTTTGAGGGGAGCGGGAGCTTTTCCGCGTTTTGCTTTTGCTTGAGTATAAGCACAAAGAGGGAAGCCGAGGAGTTTGCTTGATGTTTTAGGGCAATGGACGTAAGATTTTATTCGCCACCGCCACCAGCACCACCTCAGTCGGGCGCCGCTCCTGATACCCCCTGTCTGGGACCTTCGCCTTGCTTGGACCCCTACTACTGCAACAAGGTGATTTTGCGTTTTCTCTCTACAACACTATCCCCCCCCCTCCCCCAGTTCCCCGGGAAGCTGGGTGGTTGGGCAGATGGCTGAGGCTCGAAAGAGAGACCTCAGGCTCGGCAGGTTGCGCATTTGAGCGAAACCCTCAAGAGAAGCGCCAACGTCGTTTGGCTGGCACGCCTTTATTTTAAGGGGAGATGGAAAAGCGAAGCGCTTCCTTTCTGGTCCCGTCTTTATATTGTGGGCGACCTATTGCATGCTTGGGGGGGGGGGGCGGGGAGGCGTGTGGGCGCGTTGCAAAAGTAATCGCCTTCCCTTCGTTTCTTGCACCGTTAGCCTGAGTGCTTCTAAAATACAATCCTGGAAAAGGGTGAGGGGTAGGGGTGTGTGGGCAGATGATTGTTGGGGAAGGATTGACCGTCTCTGAGTTCTGACCCTTACTTGTAAGTTCCACAGCAGTGGAAGGAAGCTTCCTCGGGAGGAAATAACTCTAGGATCTCAAGTTGAAAGTCTCTGCTAACTCGTACTTCTGTATATAGAGGAAACATTGCGGGGAGGGAGATTTAAATTCACCTCCGTCCCCCAAATAAACAGTTCTTAACTCTGCTTTCAGCCACTGAGGCAAGAATGACAAAGCATTTGGTTCGTGAGACCAAGGAGTTTGGTGAAAGGGGAATTAGAGTTTTAAAAATCAGAAGAGTTGAAATGTTTGCCTTTGAAGGTCTGGAGGAGTTAGTCCAGAATTAAGGTGTTCATCCTCCTATATACTAATACAATTTGGGAACACTGTCAAACACAAAAGCCTTTTTCCTTCTGTTATGTGGGCTGCTGGGTAAGGAGTAGAGTTGAAGGCATTGTCAGAGCAGCAGGAAAACAAGTCTAAAGTTCTGTCAAGGCCATGCTATCTCTATCTACTCAGAAGTAAGTCCTACTTGATACTTAATTCCAAGTTGCTACTGATAGAACTGAACCTTAAGGGTTCTTTTGTGTAGTCGTTCTTTGTCATTAATATTTACGTACAAAAATAAAAGCCAGAATCATAGACTACTTTCCACATAAGTTCTTCCTTTGGTTATGTTTACCTAGTTGCTCTTTTATGAATAACATGAATTTCCACCTTGTTCCCTCTGATCCCCATGGGCAACACTGGCCAGAGGAAAACATTGGTCAGCTTTCACAATCAGTACTTGAAATGCACCTCATAAAGCAAGAGAACAAGTATTGGCAAGAGGATTTATTTAATCCTGGATGTCAGTTGGGCTTTGTTTAAGAACTTGTTATGGAAGGTTGGTGCTTCTACAAGTATTATCAGATGTATTTGTGCCTATACTCATATGCCTGACCAATGCTAGGTTTTTCCTTGGTTTTAATTGTTTATAAAGATATAGGTGATCAACATTCTGGAGAAGTATGTTTATTCACTGGAAAAGATGGCGGGGGTGGGGTGGGAATCTACTGTTAAGTGCTGTCTCTCAGCATTGGTGTATGCATGTATTTCAAGTGTTTCAGATATTCAAGATATGCTGTGCGAAATATGACAACTTCTGATTTATGCTTGTTTTACAAATAGATGATATTGCAGTTCTATCATTAAACTCTTCACCCTTCAGGAAATCTCTAGCATGAGCTCATGGGTCAGTCATATTGTATATTATTCGTTTCTATCCCTGAAGATAACAAGAGACTTATTTTATCCCTTTGATTTTCTAAAGTGAAATCTGGACAGCAGTGACACAAAAGATATCATCGACAGCTTTGTGTTCAGTGACTGGATGTAGAATGTGGTTCTTGATTAAGATCAAATAAAACTCTTCCTGTAAAAGTTTTCTCTAGGTGTGCTACTCTGGAAAAGAAGTGATAGCAGGACTACTCTCCTCCCCCATATGCAAGGCTGTTTGTGTGCTAAGGCTCTTTTAAGTACACAGTAATGATAATTATAAAACTACTTTCACCCTGTGACTTATCACTGTTATCTTTTATGCTGAGTGGTAAGCTTTCCATGCTCAGAAATAAAGAAGTATTAAGTAGAATTAATGTCTTAAGTACCAAAGGGCCTGAAGAACCATTTGGCAGTGAAAACTGAACAGTTATTAATTCTACCAGTGATTTAAAGCTTCAGAAAGAAGGTAATGACTTGAATACATATTTTGCCCATCATACTCGGGATGGTAGTCCAGATTTAATTTAAAAGTTAAATGCTTTGGAAAATCAGGAATTAAGTTGATATATGAAATCATTTTCTAATTAAGGGTTTTAAATCATTTTGGGTGGATACATTTAAAAATCCTTTGCACAGTTCCTTTCATTTTCTTTTTCCAATCAGCTTTTTTATATTAATTGTTAAAACTGCTCACAAAAAGGAACAAACTTTTTCTTTGACTATGCATTCTTTTTAACCCAATCAAGATAGACAATAGATGTCAAAAATTCTACACTCCTTCCTTTTAAAACTCAGGAGTGATATGCTAGGAATGTTTCTCACCAGACAACATTCTTTAAGCAATAGATAGATATCTCTGTCAAGCTGCTATGCCAATGACCATTGATTATCCTAAATGAACTTAGGATAGCTTTGCTGCCTGGGCCCCTATGAGGCATTTGTTGACTGAGCATCTAATTTTCTTGCATTCTCCTAGTCTCAATCAATCTAGCTGATTACAGTTGTAATAAAGTCTAAACTTTGTCTCTTGTTTTTCCTGGCTGCAGAAATACACATAATTTAGTCATCCTTCATTACTGCTGCTGGAGTCTTTTTTGTAATGTTGCATTCCCTTCAACAGCTTTGATGAATGCAGATAAAAAGGCCAACTTGTATCCCAGAATGCTAGAAACATTTTTATTTCAGGGGGAAAATATTTGAATCAGCAGAATTTTGACATGCTCTTGTAAGCAAGTTCACAATTTCTTTCATCTGTACTGATTATAGAAGGTAAGGTAAATATTAATTTGATTTGGTTATTGCCATTAGAGGCTGCTTTTATGTTAGAGTAATTCCATTTATGTTAGTGGAGTTGCTCTACAGTGTGGGTGAAAAATAAATAAAGCTAAACATGTCAGAAATACTGCCAGGTAATCAGCATAACTTTTATTAGTGGTCTTAGCAAACATGTCCTTTGCTATATAATATTTCAAACATCATACATAATCTAAGAACTGTTATTATGTAGATTTGTGCCTGTCATACTGGTTGTAAAGAATTAGGATTCATAACTATTTTACAAACTCCCAAATATAGGGCTTTTTTTTATTTCCCTTACCATTAGCTAGCTTTGTTTCAAAAGATTATAAAGACACTTTCTTTAAAATGATGTCTTAAACATTTTAATTGGTGATTGCTGTGTTTTCGCTTGCAGTATAGCATGCTTTGACATAGTGCCTGAGATCATGTTTCTTTCTCCAGCTAAACTCAGAGGGAGAAAAGTGAAAGAACAATGCAAACAATGTTGGTTATGGCAACTGTGTGAGGTATCCTTTATACAAATAGAGTGAATGGTGGCTGTATATAGATCAGTCTTTGAAATAATATAGTGAAGCGCATAGGCCAGATAAACAGATTTAGACTTAAGGTGTTATGGTTCATCTCTGAAACTTAGAGGAGAGTTGGTGACCCTCTAACTAGGAGATACACGAACAGGGCATTTTTGGAAAATAACCTGTGGTACATACACATTCTGGGATCACTTTTATAAACACATTTCCTAGGTTTTTTTTTTTTTTTGCTGTTTAGAGATGTCCTGTTTTCAGTTTAAATATATTCCCATAAAGATATGTTCTTATCCTGTCTAGCCACTGTTTTGATAAATTCTTGTATGGAAAGATGTTTGCTTATGATTTTTGTCAGTTGCCATTATTTTCAACATTGCTGATATATGAAGGATTTGCTTTAATCTAAGTTTGTTTTGACATGGATAATAAGAGGCATGCTGACTTATGCCAAGAAAAGGAAGGGCTTTATTGCTTCTAGTAGGTAGCCTGGCAAAATTATGTATGGACTTATTTTCTGAAATCTCTTCCTTAAAAGTAAAAAAAGCCCACAGCTGGTATACAGTTAACTTGTCAGGTGAAAAAAACCCCAAGCTGATACATGTATCAAAGAGAGAGAACATATCCTAAACATACAAAATGGGAACAAGAAACAAGGGAACAGTTAAGACAGAGTACATGTATAAACCACATTTTACAACTTTCTAATTACTGTTTGAGAACAAATCTATAATAGAGCTTTATTATTCTGTTACAAGATTATTTTCTACTATCAACTAAAATGATTTTTGATAGGAAAGTGTTAGTTTTCTAATGTTAATGTTGTACATGCCCCAAACTAAATTGTAGATGTTGCTGTTTACAAGTTGTCCTAGAAATTCATTTATTACAAGCATAATTTTCCTTGCCTGGTGCTTTATTTGCTCAACTTCATTACTTTTATTGAAATATTGTATTTTTCTGAAAAGATTCTAAAATGCATTTTTTATTTTAAGAGATATCAGCATCTGTGTAAAAGAGGATGCATACATTAAAATAAATATTGGATTATTTCTGTTTTTACTGCTTAAACTAATATCTTAGAAGAGAATATTATACATTTTTAAAAAAATTCTATTTTTGTTTATTAGAAAATTTCTGTGTACTTGAATGTTTTTACTGCTGGGTTGATATTGAACTGTAAAATACTTTAATACAATTTTTTAAGTTAGTAAATTTGTTGTTTCTTTTCACTGTGGTTTTCAAAATATAATTGGTTTATAGTTGTTTCAAACTGTAGATAACATTTATATAATTTTTATTATTATTAATATATAATATACAAGCTGAGGACGTCATGTATCATTTTATAGAGAGGCCTTGTCTTTCATATGAAAGAGAAAGAAACTTAACTAAAATAATGTGACATATACATAAACAATATTTCAAACATTTTCTTTGTTATCATTAATATACTGAATCAATTAATTATCATCATACAGTTAATATGAACTGATAAACATACTAGTTGGAAGTAAATCCCGCTG